AAGAGTGAATGGAGCTGTGATGCTTGGAGCATTATGAATGATCCACATAACAAACATCTTGCCTGAGCCTTATGGATTGCTGTTATGCTGGTCCCCTACCATTTAAAGTTACTAAACACACCTAATGGTTAGCTCATTGTAAACAATGAGAGCCCACTACCTGTAATCAAAATCGGTGGACTTCAGTAAATTGTTTTCGCGGGACAGGCTTGTGGTGCCAAACAGTGCCACACTTGGCATTTTGGAGGCAGGAAGACTTTTCACAAGTTTGTATTTTACTTCCTCAGATTTTCCTATGAAAAAGCTAGCTTAGCTCCTCCTCAGCAATCCACAGAACGAAAGGAACAGAAATATTGTCTATGTATTCATTGCTGGAAAATTCCATGTTAAAAGAGAAGGGCCTCCAGAGACTGGAGACAGCTTACTGCCAGCCTGAATAGACAGAAACTGAGTTCTGGCCCATGATCATAGAATCACAGAATGCTTTGGGCTGGAAGGGACCTTTAGAAGTCATATAGTCCAATCCCCCTACAGTGAGCAGGGACACCACTAACTAGATCAGGTTTCTCAGAGCCCTGTCCAACCTGACCTTGAATGTTTCTATGGATGGGGCCTCCCCTTCCCCTCTGGGCAACCTGTTCCAGTGTTTCACCACCCTCATTGTAAAAAACGTCTTCCTTATATCCAGTCTAAATCTACCCTGTTTTAGTTTAAAACCATTACCCCTTGTCCTGTCACAGCAGGCCCTGCTAAAAAGATTGTCCCCATCTTTCCTATAGTACTGAAAGTACTGAAAGGCAGCAATAAGGTCTCCCCAGAGCTTTCTCTTCTCCAGGCTGAATAATCCCAACTCTCTCAGCCTGTCCTCATAGGAGAGGTGCTCCAGCCCTTGGATCATTTTTGTGGCCCTCCTCTGGACCCACTCCAACAGTTCCATGTCCTTTTTGTGCTGAGGGCTCCAGAGCTGGAACTCTGATCTATGATCAACTAGCACCCCCTCCCATACAAACTGCTCACTGGCTTTGGGGCTATGATATGAAGACAAGGCAGCAGCTGGGGCAGCTGCCCCATTGGGACATGGTGTGAAGATTTGATCCTTATGGGTCCCTTGCAACTTGAGATATATTCTATGATCCTCAACAGATCAGCAATGATGCACAGGTCAGTATCATCCTGGGAAACGTGCAGTCCCAGTTTAGTTTCCTAAATTTTAGTGTAGCAGTCCAAATGCATGCACCTATGGTTAGAAATATAACTGGATTTTGATTCAAAAAATTCTTGCTTCCCCTGACATTGCTGGTACTTTCTGCAACCATGCTGGACTTGCCTTTTCCCACTCCCCTCCCCCCGGAGACAGGATCAGTATGAGAATTACATGAGAATCTCCTGTACCTGCACCAACAGCAGCAGATTCATGTCTGGTAAGGGTGACTTTAACTTGAGTGCCTGCAGTAACTCCAATATGACACTGCGCGTCAAGTAGAATTTGTCCCTTTCCTACAACAGAAAGACACAGAATTATGAATGTCCTGAAATTCACTGACACCCACTAGTAAAGCATGAAGACATTTTTTATCTCAGTTTGAGAATAAAAAAGTTACAAAAGTGTACCCCTGTCTTACAAAAAGGCAGACATCAATGAGGGTGATTCTCCTTTGACACTGTATCAGGTACTACATACAAGATTTTAATATTACACACGTGAAAAAGCCCAGGCATACAGCATAGCTTACACAAGATAGTTCCATATAAAGGGAAAGCAGTAAGGATTGACACAGGAGAACAAAACTGGCAACAGTATTTAGCATTATTCTTTCATTAAACCTGCCAGAAATGGTCTACATTCTACCATACATTTTTTCTGTCATCATTCTCCTTAAAATAAGGGTGCCTGCACTAAGACAACTTGGACATCTCTTTTCATTCACTAGACTAGCAGTACTTTTCCACTTACACAATAAAAACCACCTTGGCTATGACTGCTACAACAGAAACATTTTAGAACATAGGGGGAAATCAGCCAATGGAGATTAGAACACAGAAGCCTAAGAATAGAGTTGTAGAGCTGAGGTAGCAAGGAGGTACAAGAGATAAGATGAGCCTGTTACACATCTTACTTTGACATTCTCTGACTTTAGAAGATAAGATAAAAAGTGGAACAAATCTATAACCTACCACTGACTACAGCAACTCAAGAATTTTGATCAGCAGGCAGACTTACACTGAGCTCTCTTTCAAATGACCATTAGAGATTAAATAATATTGTCTAATAAAGAGAGCATATCCAAAGCGTGCTTAAGATTTAAAGCCTAGCATCTTGTAAATCTCATGGACTTGCCTGCTTACTCAAGTGTGTGAAGCTTTTTACACAGTCAGGGCCTCAGTTCCTCTGTGACTTCTGCAAAATGACATAATGTTTGCCTCTTCCTCAGAGAAGTTTTGTGAGGTTTAGTTAGTGAGGGTCAGTTTGCAGGGCACCTCCAACTGCACACCATAGCAAGTGCAGCTAAAAGGGAAGGAGTTGAAGGAGATGAATAGCTGGAAGTGAGAGTGAGCTTTGGTTGCAGCAAACCAAGAAGCCAGTCACCAGTGTTCCTCCTCAGAAAGCTGCTGTTATCACATTGCATCTGCGTAGCATACTGCCAAACAAAGCTTACAGCAACAGCGCGTGCCTCCCTGCCGTGGTTTAACTCCAGCCAGCAACTAAGCACCCCACAGCAGCTCACTCACTCCCCCACCCCCCGAGCAGGATGGGGGAAGAGAACTGTGAGGGTTAAAGTGAGAAACCTTTGTGAGTTGAGATAAGACAGTTTAATAATTGATGATGATGATGATCGATGATGATAATAATAATTGTAATGAAAAGGAAAATAACTAAGAGAGATAGATAAAACCCAAGAAAGACAAGTGATGCAAATGAAAACAATTGCTCACCACCAACCAACCGATGCCCAGCCAGTCCCCCAGCAGTGGCCCCCCAGCCAACCTTCCCCCCAGTTCTATATGCTGAGCATGACATCATATGGTATGGAATATCCATCCCTTGGTCAGTTGGGGTCAGCTGTCCTGGCTGTGCCCCCTCCCAGCTTCTTGTACATCCCCAGCCTCCTCGCTGGTGGGGTGGGGTGAGAAGCAGAAAAGGCCTTGACTCTGTGTCAGCCCTGGTCAGCAGTAACACAGGGATGTTTTAGTTACCAGCACTGCTTCCAGCATAAATCCAAAACATAGCCCCATAGCAGCTACTGTGAAGAAAATTAACTCTACCCCAGAGAAAACTAGCACACTCCCACAGCACCCACATACCTTTTAGTGAAAACAGATTTAAAATATCAGCCCCTGATTTGGGAGAAGGTGCCCAAACAACAGAACAGTATGTCTTTCATGGACATTATGATGCCAGTCTATGAATCAAGAGACCTTACTTCAAGCTCCTAGTTCAACCTTCAATTGCATGGAGTGTGCAGACAAGCAACACATTTAGCTGATGGAATGGGCCCCAAACTGCAGTGGTCCTTGTCTGACTACATTGCTGCAGTCTAGGCAGCTAAACTCACAGGAGGCTAACATTCCAAAATCAATAATAAAAAAAAATTACAAAAAAAAAAATTCCCTTAGTGGAGCAGCAAAACTGGATCAGTTTCGCTGTATCATGAAACCATTACTTGAGGGGACAAGTACTCAAAAGTCATACATCCCACATGTGTGAGTGGTGGTCTGATAAGAATGATACAAGAATATCCAGGAGATGTCAGATCAGGAGAAACGTCCTCAGTATCTTATCTCCCACAACGCCATAAGCAGATGCAGAAGGAAGAATAAAGCCAAGGCAAGCATGTATAATTCCCAATACTACTCTCCTAGCCACCAACTATTTTCAGCTCAGGGAACTTCTGAGCTCAGTGTGGTTTCTGTATAATTCATAACTCTCAGTGGATTTCTCTTCCACATTTGTGTTCATTGACCTCTTGGACTGATGTCAACTTTTAGTACCCGCAGTACTTCGCAAAGAGTCACATGCTGTTGAAGAACCACTTCCCTTTACTTGCTTTGATGCTGCTTCCTACAAACTTAGTATGTTCTTGTACTGGAAAGGCACAAAATTACCCATCCCTGTCTGGGTCACTTGTGACCTTACAGGCCTCTCTCACATTCCCATCAGTTTTTGCTTTTCCTGACTGAAGAGCCCTAACTTAGTTGCTCTTTATGTCGAACTCATCCCACTGTTTGATTGCTTTTGTTACCATTATCTGAACTTCCTCTGATTCTATCATATTCTATTGGGAATGGGGAACCAGAATGGTGCAGTACTCAAGGTGCAAATTACTTGCTAGAATTCACCAGCAAGAGTGACCGTTCCCACCATCATATGCCTTCACAGTCTTGAGACACATATGTAATGCAGTGCCATGGTCAGACAGTTGACAATTACATCCCCCAAAACACTGGACAGAAGTTCCTATCAGTAACCCAGCACAGTAGCCTGCACATACTGGAAAATAAGAGAGGTAAAATTCTGTCAAAAGCATTTGGCTATTTTACAGACTAACACCTATGCTACACAGGATATAATTGGGCCATAATAAATTGCTTTGTCAGAATACTGGTAAGGAAGCATAGGCTTCATGAATTCCAGCCTTCCTTGGCTCTAAGCACAATAAAACAGTGAGCTCTCTCTTTCTCAAAGAAGTCTCCTATCTCACATTCTAAATCCCTAATGTTTGTTATGCACATGCAGTGCAGAGAGATGAAGCAAAATCAAGCAAAATGGTTTTTGACATTTGACGTCTTCCTTCCTGTACCATAAATCAGGAGTGATGACACTGAAGTCAATAGCCCAGAGTACCCTTCCTATCAAAGTCTACTTATTCCTATCATTCTGCCGGTGATAAATATGCATAAACATAGTTTATACATACTTTAAGAACTTTATATTCTGCAACAGAGCTGTAAATAGCTATTAGTTCCATGTGAATAATGCCCAGGGGAGTCACATTTGTAAACCTGGTACCAAAGAGTCAAGAATACAACTCCTTTAGCCTCTGTTCAGCCAAATTAACCCTCTAGAATGTCTGTGCGTCCCTATAAAAAAATGCCTTGCAACTTTCAAACTGTGACTTGCCAGAGGTCTATATGTAGAATGTGAAACTAATGAAGTTTGTTTCTAACAGCATCTCAGGGCCCAAACTTAGTAATAAGAATAGTAGATACGGTTCTTTCATGGATTGGTATGCTATCCTCCAAGTAAGCCAATATAAAGCAAAATTCATTAATTTATCTCTGTTGCTACTATAGAAATTATAAATACTGAATATGGCCACTTCAAGATTCTTTAAAAAAATTCAATAACAAAATCACGTCAAGCCCAATTCAGTGGCATTCTGCATTTACTTAATAAGGGTCAACAGAATTCTAGCACAAGCGTAAGTTTAGGTTCAAGCTTCTGCAGCTGTAAGAGATAAGAAAGCCAGAAAGTGTCCATTTAGGACAGTAAGCTACTTGAAAGGAAAACTAAAGATAAGAAGATTACAATCCGAAGAGATGCTACTCTCAACTGAGAGCTCCAAAGGCACTGAAAAATCAAATTGCTGACCTGGAACAGAAACTCAGACAAAGAAGTATCAGATTGACGTGAGTCTTCAGGCTCCAAGACAAGGGAAACCGAGCTATTCCTGCCACAGGGTATTAGGAAAATATTGGAGATAAAAAAAGATTTGGAATGGTTGTACAGCAGTGACCTCTACAAAGCGCATGTCAGAGTGGCTTGGTCTTTGAAAAGACAAGAATCCCCCATAGTTTAGCTGAAAGTTGGTGTTTTGTTCCAACCAACACATTCAAAGTTGCAAAAGAAGTAATTAAATCTGAATAGTTTCAATGTTCACGAATTATATTCCTTCTGGAATTCACTTCTACGTGGTATTCTATCACAAACAACACTCTTAGCTGGCTACAGTGATTTCCACTGTAGAGAAACACAGACATCACAACTGATTTGTTTTTTTTCTAACAGCAGTCATTAATTTGATATTTCTAATGCAAAATCACGATAAGCTTTCAGAAATAACAAAGATAATGTAGTGTGGAGTTCCACTAAATTAAGCATTTTGTGGCTATAAATTGCAGGAGACCATTCACTAATGATTCCATTTCTGGGTCACCAGGTTGCATTAAACTAAATCAAGAAGAACATTTTACCAAGCACTATAATCCAAGCTTCCTGTGTGCAATTAAGTACTCAATATATTAATAGAACATTGAACCAGTAAGCATGCAAGAAAAGCATGGGGCTTTTTAATATCGAGGTTCTAATAAATTTTTCTTGAAATAACTGAAACTACAGAGCATGAAAAGAGTGAAACATTTTCTGTATTTCACAATTTGCTTTAGCAGGCATACATGAAAAAGTCTTATCATCAGACCACAAACGCAAAAGGAATGTCTTTGCTTCAGATTTAAATGGGGCTTTTTTTGTTTCAATGAAAAAAACCCCACTGTTGGACTTCTAACATTTTTCTCACTTTGTCTTCCCAAATCCTTAACTATAGATCTAACTCAAAACACTTCCAAAAGCTGGACGGTCTCTTCTGTAATCAGGATTTTTTTTCTTTCATAAACACTTCTCTCTCAAATGAGACAAAAAAAAGGTAGTATTTGCTGTAATTAAACATACTGTTAGTTTCTATTTAATGCTTCAAATCATTACATCTGGTAAAAGTTTTTCTTATTTTCCTGCACAGTTTTTTTCTGCGGGTGTCATTGCTTTTATCATCATTTCTTCTTCACCGTTTGTCCAGTGATATTTTAAGTGTTATCAAGACTGAAGCAACGTGTGTTCCAATTGTACATTATCAATATAGAAAATCATGTAGCTACTTACGAGAGAACATTTCCTGAGGATTAATTACTGTTCTGACAGTATCAAGAATGGAAAACTGTGTGCTTAGTGGCCGAAGCAACATTTTTGCTCAGTACCTTGACAATCTACATAATGGAGCATACAGGGCCTTAGTAAAAGGCTTGATTTTTTTTTTGTGGATTTTGTTGTGTTCAACTTCTCACTAATACTTGATTGATAACTGCTTTTTAAGGAATCTTAAAAACTTTTTAAAGATGCACACATACTGTTCTCTTTTCTACACAGCTGACAGCCATGCATGCCAAAGTGAGATACCTAATACAGAATCAAACAAGATCTAAGCTGGGAAGCTCCTAACTTGGGAGTCTTCAACTTTACTTAGCTATCTGTTGCCTCCCCTCACAGCTGTGCTCTCAAAAGGCACTACCAGGAATATTTAAGTTTTTACCGCACAAGATATTTGGCTAAACTTGTGCACAGATATGACTGTACGAACATATTAAGTCATGTGTGAATACCAGGAATCATCTCTACAAAAGAAAAAATTCTCCAAGTCACGAAATCACACCAAAACACTTTTCTGAGCAATGTTTTTTGGCAGATGCCCTTTATCTGTGTCTATACTGTGAATGTGTACAATATTATTAAAAGGCACTGAATCATGATCACTACTTGATTAGCCAAACTACATTAAAACCGTTGACATATCTGAAACTTGACATTGATTTAATCTTTACTTATAAACATACTACTTGAAGGAATTAGGACTTTGTCTGTCCTATTTCCAGTTGTCTCTAAAGGAAGATAATAGTCTCATTGTTACCTTAGTGAAGGCTCGGTAGCATAAACCACACAGTTCCACCAGGTAGGCCAGAGTGAAGACAGCATTCTGAATTACAAAGCTTAGTAATTTTGAAAAAGGCTCCAGAAGACTCTGCAATTACATGATTTAGAGAAATCAGTAACTGGTTGCTCAGCAAAACAAAAAGCATTCCAACTCTGAAATGCCTGAATGGGACAGCATTATTTTTAGCTCAAGGGCTATCTTGCTGGTATTTACACTGTTTCTGTCAAATGGCTATTCTATCTAGCATTTGCCTTCATGCTTGTATGAGAAATCAGAAGCAAAAAATTAGAAAAATAGTTTCACCTCTTATACAGTATTTATGAGATCAAAGAGATTGTGTAGTGTTATGCAGGAAAACCTCACTGATCTCAGTGGAATTCTAAGGAAGTTCATTACTATTTTTTTTTAAGAAAAAAAAGGCGGGGGGAACATCAAATGTTTAAGAAGATATACATTCACACCCACACAGGAATGTAATCCCACCCACACTTTACTGTAACCTAGATTCCAAAGCTCTTATCATTCTCCAAAGAGTATCGGACTGCACAATTTTATGCTTATAAGAAGCATATTATATGCTTAAGAAGACATTGCTAGAATAGGGCAGGCTGGCTAAATCTGAGGCAAGAGAGTTTTGTCTTTTTGGAACTTACTCTGGTGGCACTAGTGGTAGGTATCTTCAGCAAGCAAATCATGATTCTTAAACTAGAATCTAAAGAACACTATGAACATATTTGAAGGCAGGAAAGAAAAAAAAACAGAGTTAGTACATTTCAGCATGTCTTGCTTTTAGTGGCAGCAGCTATCAATAAGTTATAGGTGAAGTCTGAAAAATGATCCCTGATGATTGATCTTTACTTACTTTGCCTAAACTTAAGTACTAGGTAAAGTAGTAGGTAAGGATCAACTTATTAGGAGAAGACACCTCATGGTACATTTCTGTTGTTGCTCTGGGCTATGACATTTTCCCCCACACCCCAAGACAGGGCTGCAACTCACACCCCACAACATCAGAATGCACCCTGCCAATAGCTGCTCCAGAAGCCCCTCTAAAGTTGTTCCTTATGGTGTAACTGATTTTTCTTCTGCGTAAATCATACAGGTTGCAGCAGTGAATGGGACTTTTCAGGGTCTATCCATTGTCTTGCCATTTGTCTGCAAACATCTAGAACAGCAAAGATTCATTTATGACCCTAGAGGAAGGAACAGCAGATGGAAGTTCAGGAGTAAGAAATTGTTTTACTTGTATCACTAATGATACCTCCCATGAATAAAAGGGAAATCAGAGTAAACACTCCATCTAAATGTTCTGTGAATGGCAGATATGCAGTTGGAACTGTTGAGATCAAATTTTTTTTTTTTTTTATTTATTTCAATTAGACAAGATTCAACAGATTAGGGTGGCTAGTACGCAAAGGGAATGGTTATTGCCTGTTTGGCTTAGTAAGTGCTGCAGGATAGTGCCTCAATTCATGAAAACCTAAAGAGGTTTCAAGATCTGACTATTGCATAATAGTGCCAAGGAATTTAATATCTTTCATGTAATTTGGTGGTGACATCCAATTTAAAAGACAATGTTATAAGTCACAAAGTTAGATTTTGGATCCCTCAGCTCATACTGAGCAATGCTGTTTTGCACAGAAGAAATTAGAACTGGGCTCATTCATGCCATAGGAGTCAGAGTAAGTCAGAATAAGGGCATCAGAATCCTGTGTTTACTCGGAAGACTCAGAAAAGTTTTTACTGTGTTTACTGAAAAGACATCTGGAAATGTACGTACCATGAGATAAGATCCTCCTGTATGTCCTCTGAGCACTCAGAAAACAGAGCCCAGTGCTTCTAGATTCAGTTTCTGCAACTATATTCTAATTACAAGCAGAACTACAACCTTGGTCAGCCAAACAGGCTAGGTTCAATTCCCAGTAGTTTCAGTTCTCTCTGCCTGTCTGACTATTGTGTACTTTTAGAAAATTAATTGGGTGGTGCTGCTGCTCTTCTTGAGAGTTTTATTTTGTTTTAACAGTTAAAACCAGATGGATTTTTATTGCCAAAATGCTGATTCTCTCAAATGCAGTATTCTAATCTGACAAAGACAGGGCACGGAAAGTGTAGAGGAAAAAAGCCAACAAATAGGTGAAGAGTACTCTGGTCAGAGTTGTTATTGTTACCCACAGATCATATAATTAAAGGGAAGGATCAGACATACAATAAATCCAGTCCTCTGGAAACATTAGTTGAATCATTAGAAAACACAACAACCTGCTCTGATTTCTCATCCACAGCTTTCCCACTGTTTCGGTACATCCTGACCAATGGCAGTACAGCTCGTTTCAGATGTCCATACATCATACCTTAAGTGGCAAAACACAAGGGAGTTTAGTAAGGAAGGTCTGAAACTGATTACTAATTGTGGTCCAGAGGTTACTGGGTGAATCCATCGGCAAGGCTTCCATAAAGGTAGCAATATTTTCCAAACAGCGTAGCATTGCACCCCCTGCTGGTAAATTCTTTTTGTTGTTTAAACCCTGGGAAACAAAACGAAAACTGTAAACAAATGTACACATGAAGAAATGGTCCCTTAAACAGTATTTGGAAATGCTGAGGTTAATTTGTTCAGACCAAATACTACTTACCTCTTCTACAATGCTAATAATAAAATGTTGTGCAGGGAATTTGAACAGTGTATGGGACAGTTAAGTCTAGTTCAGTTCCTAAAGTACTGACTAAAAGATTTTAAGCCAAAATGTTATGAGCAGGGTCCTAATTCATAGCCTGCTCAGACTGGCATGGCAGTAAAAAAAGCAGAACTCGTAAAGTGTTCACCAGTAGATTGCCCATGTTTTCCTTTGGCCAGTTTTAAACAAGGCATGTTCATTAATGTTCAGTAGATCATGTATACTTTCTTGGCTTGTGTACTAGGGTCAGGCCTGGAAAGACATAAGCAGTTTTCAGGTGATGTGAAAGTCTTTGTATGAAGCAACTGCCATGTTCTTGGAAGAGCAGGATACATGCAAGCGACTAGTGGTAGTGGAAGGATAAAAGTTACACTAGAAACAAGAAGGCAGTCAGTGAAAGGCAGGCAGTAAATCTATGGACTACTTAAAGAAACTGCCAGCAGATACATGGGAGAGGGAAAACTGTGATGTATGAACAGAAATGTTCCTGAAAAACAGAAATAGGACTGGGGGAAAGGATGGCCCACACAATCAATGTGTAGGACAGCTCCAGGAGCTGGTCAGAGAAATCAAAAAAAAAAAAACAAACTATCACTGAGAGCAAAACCCAGAAGGAAAATAGTGAGGACAACCTAATCCCGCTTGCAGTGAGCACAAAAAAAATATTCACATTGCTTTTGGCGATGCAAGTTTGAACTCTTAATGAATGAGGAGAAATGATCCAATATGCTTGGTAACGCTAATAAAACTAGCACCATTAACAGAGCTGATTGCCAACATACCTCTAACAGCTGGCTCAGAGCAGCGATGGAACTCAGCTCACTGAAGTCCATAAGAGATGTGGCCAAGGTCCGCAAAAAACTTCCATCTGAAATTTGAATTACATTTTTACACTGACTGTCCATACAGAGGTAACTGAAAGGGACAGAAGTGCACTCAGGTACCACACATTACCTTTAATATTACTCTGGAAAAGCTGGGGGAAGATGCCATTGGGAGCCAGCTGATGGAACACACAACGGAGGAACTGCTTGGCCACACCTGCAGCATTTCCAGGGATCATCATGCTGAAATGAAGGGAAGGAAAAGGAAGAAGAAAGAAATTACACGGCAGATGAAACACTTCTCAAAGCTGACTACATGGAGAAAATAAAGATTATCCTATTCCTTTTAACTGTGGAATTCTTCAGTTATGAGTGAGACAGTCAAAAGCAGAACTGTCCTGATCCCCCAAAAAAAACCAGTTCAGCATGTTGATTTTATGACTTCAACTCAACTATGCAGAGCTGAAAAAGTTATGTACACATACATAAAGTATGTGTCTCAATAAATTGTTGCATTTTCACTGATTCTCCACATAGTTTTATCTGGGAGCCATCTGAGTTGTTTGAAATATAGTCCTGCTCTCACCTTGTATATTTCAGTGATACAGGATGAGGTTCTTGGCTTTACCATAAAACACATGAAAAACAGGTAAATACACACATTATAAGATGAATTTGCCTCTTGCGCTTTTCTTCAAGAGATTAAGTACTTCCTAATCACTCATAAAATAAATAGTTTCATTTAAAAAGACGAAGTATTATCTATTTACTCATGAACTGCACATCTTAACATTTTTTTATAGCTTCTCAAAATTAATTTATCCTATTCAGTATCTGATTTACATAATGAGACATCACTATCAGGGGTTCTCCATGGCCAAGGATGATTCACTTGATTGAATGTATGGAGATAGTTTATCGAGACAAATACTTAACACAGAACAAGCTAGAAAGAGCTGCGCTGAAATTGTGGAAACCAGAAGGCATCTTTCAATTATGTCTGAATCTTAAGTTTTTTCAAGTTCAGTACAGATGAATATGTGTTCCTGTTCATCCTCAGAACACACGAGATGTTTGAAGCAAGTGTGAAAGGACAGATTTTTCCTGTTACTCACAAACCTTAAATAAATTTTTTAAAAGTTAAATTTAGTTGTTTTCAAGGCCAAGGAGGATGATGCTTTAGATTAATTGTTTCCTTTTGGCCAAGGTACCCTTTGCTACCATACCTTTCTGCTTGATTAGAAAAACTGGTACTTGATGCCAACCTGAAATAAAAATAAAAAAATAAGTGAAGCTCATATGCTTTTTTTGTGTTTCATTTTTAAGTAAGCCAATAAAGTATCTTTTTTTAAAAATAAGAATTTTAGATAACATTTAAAATGTCACCAGAAAGGTCTTCTGAAGAGCACTTAAATTCAGTCAAATCACATTTGCATGACATATAAACACTATTCAGTCTTGCAGTCTCACAAATACTTAACAGTTCTGAAGACAATTCTACTTGCCTCACTGTACTAGCATAAAGATAATGAAGTAAAGCTATTGCCTTACATGCACATCATGGATAATTACTAACCTACAGGGATTTGGAGAAAAAAAGTTTGCCAGAAGCTGCCTCCTGACTGAATTGTTTCTGATTAACACAGCAACACAGACTAAGCCAAAATTCTCTACTTGGCAGTCTGAAGTGAGGCTTCCAGTTCCAGATTTTGGCACCTAAATAATTGGCCTAATTTTGGAAACACTAAATACCTACGAGCTCTTACAAAGTCAGATGAGAAATACTGGGTTCTCAAAAATCAGGTCATTTATTTTAGTACCTAAATATAGACTTTGAAGCCAAATATAGGCGCATTCAGTGATGAAAATACTGAACACAATCTTCAAGCAAAATCATGCACTTCAATATCCAGGGCATGCAAATGAACAGAAGCAGGGCTTGTAATACCAAAACAGCACACATTTAATACTAAAACCCACTAAAAAGTAATTACAAAGATCTACACTGGAAGCAACTCTTACATACAAATTATCATGCGATTTTTACTTTCATCTGCTGTACATCAGTATTTCAGCTGGAATAAGTTGATATGCCTGAACGGAAAGTTCAGAGCGCTACGCTAATTTACAGCTGATGATGAACTGGCCTCCAATGTTTATCTTTGATTCACAATCCTTTTAGGCTAGATATAGCTGTTGCTCAATCCTCTGTCAACCTCTGCTCTGAAGAGAGTTTACTCTCTAGTCACCACTGCAAAATCCAAAAAGGTCCCTAAGGCAGCTTAGTCAAATGCATCAGTGTAAACCAAAATGGATGGCTGTTTTCATTAATGATGCATGACAAGCTGGGAACACAGCATACTTTCAAAAGTACAAGAATCTCAGGCTGGATGGTGCAGGGCGTTGAAGATTATATTCTCTTCAATTGTCCCAGCATAAATCAGAAAAACTCATTAGAGCCCCTGACTGCACTGTTGTTAAGAGGAGTCCACACTAAAATACAACATATTAATTCTGCTGTGAGAAGCTAATTCTCGGTGAAAACATGTCTGAAGCCACCTTCAAGCAATAAAGACCTTGATTCTGGAATAACTGTATTGTATCTGCTTACATTAAAGCACATGAGGATTTCTACAGAATGCAATGAGACTAATCACATGCCCAATGCACATTGCACTTATTTTCATAAATCTACTAAAGCATAGAAATACAACAGCATAAAATATTTTTTCTAAAAGAAATCAAAGTCCCATGCAAAGTTTTTCTCTCCTTTTGAATGCAGTAATGCAAGTGTGGGTTTTATAATAAAAAAAACATTTGGTTTCTAATTTTGGAAAAACTTCATGAGCATGAGCTACACTAAACACTTGGGAACATCTGAAACTTTTTGAAATTTACAGCTTGTATGTATTTATCATTACCACTCTAAATATTTTGTTGTACAAAGGTCATGAACCCCCATCATTACGTCTCCTTTGCAGACCACAAAGCAGAACAGTAAATAGACAGTAGGCAGTAAATGGATGTGTTCAAATTTGTACATGTTAAGAATAGAAGTTAAGCTTTTCAAAGCTCCTCACTAACTCAAGAGCCTATATGCCATTTTCAAACTGGGTTTTGATGCTTGGAACCTAAATCTCACTGAAAATCAATGAATAAGAATCAACAAGTCAAAAATTTTGATTCAGTAACTAGACCATAACATTAAGTGCATGCCAGAGTCTTATAAACTTGTCAATCTCTAATTCTTAGTAACTTGAACCCCAAACTTTTTATCTTCTAAAAATCCCAACAGATGCCTATCTGTACCTGTGGGTACCCAAATAACTTTTGAAAATCTTTCTGTGTATTGTTTAGGTATTCTGACAGACCCTGGATTTCCTAACTCCTTGTTTCCTCTTCTAAGCATAAAAGTAGTAGTCCTTTTTCTAAGAATAAAAATGAAAGAAGTCTAATCCATTCTCATCTCTGCTGTCAGATGGGTATTTGGAGGTAATGATATGGCACTGCTTGATGAAAGATAGCAACTTAGTTTATATACATGAGGCACCTGAATGCCTCTCTGCTTGTATATGCTACTTATTTTGCATGTATTCAAAATAATTCCTTTGTGGGGAGCCTCTTACTGGACTTAGAATTTGGCAGAAATGACAGCCAGTAGGAACAACACAGCATATTTACCAGGAATACCCCATGTTGCATGCCATCTGCTGCTCTAAAACAATCAGCTGTCTCACTCCAAAAATGCAGCATTTCCTCCTCAAAGCACAGAAAAAGGTAGCCCAGTCAGCCCTCATCCCTTGATAATTTGTCTTCCAAATGATTTACTCTCTGTGGCTGTAGTACTGCTGTATTTGCAAGAATCACGCAGAATGGATAGCATCTGTCTAGATTAGAAACTTTGCCTCCATCAGAGTTCATTAGCAGTGACAGCAGGGAACTGCAGCCTTGCAATTAATGAAGATGGAGGACTTGAATAGCTGCTGTGTTTAAATGGAATTGGGAGGTAGGGGAGAGGCAGGACTGTGAAGAGCCGTGCCCCTGCAGAAGTCACAGTCAAGGAATTTTAACTTCAGTCACTGAAAAGAACATGGAAAAGGAGAGCTGCACATCATTTCTGCACTTCTAGTGCTGCTCAGAAGTTTATTCTGAAAAACTCTCCCAACCTATCCCTCCCTCCTCTTAGGCAGGAAGTAGTGAAAGTGGCCAAGGCAGCAACAACAAGTAATACAACAGTAATGGTGTGCTCCAATTATCCCATGCACACCAGGTAAAAGTCACAAGAGACAAATAATAGATGCCAAATGTTTAAGACCTTATCAAAGACAATCTCATGCAGCAGCTGGTTAGGAAGCCCTCATAAGGAGATGCTACTCTTCACTTAGTCTTAATTAGCATACAAAATATGGTTGAAAAGCCTGATATGCTAACATATGTTAGTATATGTTAGATATGCTAACAAATGATCATACCTAGGACTCAACAGCCCTCCAGGAACAACAAAATTCAGAAAAGCTGACCACATTTGTGCATAACTTCTAAAGGAGGAACTACATAAAAATGAAAAACTCCGTCGAAGCAGCAAAAAGGTGTAGCCAGGATAATTCAGTCTTTACAAGAAGCACAGAAGTTGTTTAAGAACATTATATTGGAAGCACAGGGCCAAGGTACCCCACTTGTAAAGAAAGACTTCAAGAGAGCAGAAGAAAGGAAAGGTGAGGGAGGTTATTAGAAAAAAGAAGGCTTCTTTCAAAAAGCTGAAGTCATGTCTCAAATGAAAGCAGAAAGGAGCATAAATTCTGACAAATCTAACATAAAAAACACAAGAAGGCTGGCCCAAAAGTGGTTCAAAGAGCAACTAGCAGAAGGAATAAAAACTAACAGTAATTTTTTCTTCAGATAAAACAGGATCAAAAAGCACACCAGAGAAGCTGGGGAGATTCCCAAGCTGGAACCTCCCTGTGGAGGGTAAAAGGGGAGGACATCAAAGCAACTGCCCAAAATTGAAGTGACAGTGGAAGAAGTTACATAAGAAATTGACAAAATGATGCGTAACAAAGAAGCAGATAGAACCAGATGTCATTCAGTTAAGAGTTTTAAAATACATAACTTCATATAGTGAAGTTTATGTAAACCCAATTCCAGGCACAAAATTCTTTCAGTCATGTGGGAGAAAGATCTGAATTTACCTTCCTACAGACTGCATGATGTCCAACAGCAGAGGAGCAGCCAAGTCTGGACTAAGGTGAATGAAGGTTGAGAGTACAACTATGGCCAGGCCTAGTGTTTCTTCATCATATTCTTCAAGAATAGCCCCACAGTCATGGCACCTGCAAAGAACAGTTTTAAAAACTGACATTAACCAACTTAAAACAAAGTATTACTATATATACATATGTGTATAATTATGTCTTTTTAAAGTACTATTATTTAGTACATTCTATTCAAAATTTATTTAGAAAGATAATGGGAGTGTGATCTTTCTAGAATTAATAACAGACCATGGCTTTCAAACATTAATAAAGCTTCTCACTAGCTGCACTGGCTGTTTCTTCACTGACAAATGAAAGAGGGCCACAGGGCAGGCCTTGTTTTGGGTCCTTCATTGGTAATTGTTAGCTAATTCCCTCACTCTGTATCAGACTGCTTCAGTTTGTACTATCCAAGAGAAATCTGCAGTAGTAAAGACTAGCCCTCAGCAATGTGAACACCAGCCAGTGCATGCGACTTGGGCTCAGACGAGGTCTCAAGTCCCTGGCACTCTTCTATTTAGCAGCATAGACACAAACAATGACAGTCATAGATGACCTGAAAGAGATGGAACAATCTCACATTGTCCTTCCTGTCAGTCATGAATTATGAATAACAAATTATACAATTAGGAAACAATGATCTGATTGGTTCCCACAGCAGTTATAGCTATTAAGAAAGAAATGAAAGGACCTCTCAGGGGCACAGAACCTTAGATTTCAGAGAAGTCTCCTTTCCCAGGGCAGATTTGCTGCTGAGACACTTATCTTTCTGAAATGCTCAAAGACAACTGATGAAGTTCTGAAAGGGCTCTGTAATGTCTAACTATAAAGGGGATGTCAGATTTAGGAGAGATGAGACAGGCTTTCACAACCTACGAAAAAGGCAAACCCATGTGGGAAACTGGCTTATCTCAGCCCAGTAGGAAGGCTTGCTTAATTTGATCAATCTGTTGCTAATGACTCCAATGGACTGTGATATTTTAACTTAATAGAATTGTACAGGCAATTTTCTTGTCTTTGTTACTGAACAGAAATAAAATATGCCAACAAAGTCATGAAAGTCTAGCTCAGCTGGTCTGTATGTTAATAGGTTGTGCTAGAGTTTTGGTAAAATGGCCAAAGGAAGCGGCAAAGCCAACTTTGGGATGCTTTACTTTGTCACACAATAAGGTCCACTTCCAGTCACAGCCTGCGCAATGGCCCCGTCTTTCTCCAGTGATCATCCTGGCACGTCTGTCTACTGGACTGAGCAGAGAAGCATAAGCAACAACTTACGGTTTCTCTTCACAGTTTTTGACCAAATCAATGCATGGCTCCCTGCTGGCTGCTTTACTTCTCCATTAAATGAGTACACTTATGCAAAAGCTTTGGGGATCAGTGAGTATCAGCATTAAAAATGCTACGTTGGTAACTGTTGATGTGTAATCACGTGTAATCTATTTCAACAGAAACCCAAATGACTTTAAAAAAAAGAAGAGCTTTTTTTTTTTCCCTAAGGCAAAAGTGGTTTCTGAGGGATCCCAAGGAACCCTTGATTTAAAATAGGATGAAAATGCTTCCCCTGCCCTCCGTGCACTTGCAATAGCCTGAGTCATCATTTCACCTGTGCAAACTCACACAGGTCCTACTGAATTAAAAGCACACCTTGCCAGCAGTGTTTAGAAAATGTTTACCTTGGGGTAAAAAAATTAATTTAAAAACTTAGAATAGAGATAAATGATAGAATGGACTTTATATTTTCATAAAGCATATCTATACTTTAATTGACCTATTTGAAGTTCAACTAGTTCTTTGAAAGGAACACAAAAAGAACTTACTTGTCAGTCATCACAGTGGGCTGGTCATCAGCAAATTCTTCTGGTGCGGGTACAAACATACTGACTATACTGGGTGCTGACAGCAGGCTAGATTTTGTGGCACCTTAAGGCAATTAGGGTGAAAAATGAAAAAAAAAGGAAAGAAAAAAAATCATTAAACATAATTCAAACTGCTTGAAGGGCAGACTTCTTTAGAAGAACCATAATGGTTTTACTGTGCATAGAAATAAGAAATAAAGTGTGTCTACAAAATGATATATAGCACATTCCTTGCTTCTGCCAGATTGTTCCAATTACCTAGAACTATCAATTGAAAAAAAAAAAAAAAAAAAAAAAACTTAAAAAAAAAAATCCTTGAAAAGAATAACGAAAATTCCAGGAAGGTAGATGCAATCGTATCTACTCATTTTTTAGGGACATAGGGTGATTCTACAGTTGCTGTGAGACTGGACACCAGAAGATTTGCAGTCTTCACAGGTACTTCTGAAGAATTGCCTTCCCATAGTTCTCAGTGACATGAAGAAGTAAATAAGTTCATATATCTCAACACCAGGTCATCAATCCATTCACACCAGCCCTAACAGAGGCATAGGAGAGAAATCAGGAAAGGACAGGTAGAAGAAATAATTCATAAGGAGTTGAGAAACACTGAGAATATTGGAGGGCTGATAATTACAAATGCTTTCCTTTGAAAGTCTTAACAAGCGTCTTTTTTTCCTGAAGCTGAGTTGTTCAGCTAGGGGCATAGCCACTGTAATCATTCCAACAGATGGGGTTCCCTTTGCCTTTGGCATTTCTTGTGCACCTAATTTCTGATGGATGCTTGTTTTAATAGGAAAAGTTATGTATAATGAAAGTTTCAAACTCTTTGCTTCTTTGAGTCCTGCTTTCCAGAATTACAGCAAAATAGGGTAGTCTGACAGTCTAACATCTCTCCAGTATGGCAGTTTTCCTGCCTTGGCTCCTTTGTTTTCATTAAGCAGACAGTAGCAATTGCAGAAAAAAACATACAGAAGAGGTAACTCTCCAGCTGGTCTGGTTGCAAAGAAGACCTCAAGAATAATCAGACTCCTTCCTGAGCCATCAGAAACTTGGATCAAAGCTACTGTGATGTACGAGCTATGTCATTCACCTGAGATGCCTTGTGACGATGATTTAAATATTGTTAGCAGTTTCATTTTCCAGGCCACTAAGACAGAAACAGATACTCAATTCTTAAAGAAAAATACCTCTTTTGGTTGCCACATGTGTCTGACATGATAGAGGCAGCATTACTCTTGTTCCCATATGGTTCAGCTCCAAGAATGAATCCAGGGAGTTCAGCTGGTAAACACCATCACTATGTATATAAACTGTCCCTAAGGGCATCTCATTCTAAAGACCAATCTATGAAAAGCTCATTTTGTGAACCAATTTTTAGAAGAGTATCAATGCTCTTTTTATGCCCACTCAACCACAGATTAAGTAATCCATTACCAACTTTCTTGCGGGTTGCTTCAATCTGCAGATTCAGATTTAATGTTAACATTAGCCTGTTCTGATAATATTTAACTATGGAAACAGGAGGAAGCTTCTCCACCTAAACTAGGTTCAGATGGAATTTCTGATGAGATAATGCCAGTTACTGCAGGAAAAGAAAATTAGGATCAGCCCTCAGGCAAAATAATCTAAGAAGCTCCCACAATTTCTGAACTCAAAATATGGGGAGTGATGAGGCCCTGTTTCACAAGAATAAGACAGGTTTTAAATCTTTTTACTAAGTATGGAAGGAAATATTTCTTTTACATATGAGTTCAGTACTTCATATTTGTACCCTGAGATTTTGTTGGATATGAGCAGATACTCAAGGAAGTCCAGAATACTCTTCAGTAATGTAGGACACCATCCAGAGTGCAATGAATAGGAGTAGATTTTGACATATTTCTAGCCAGTTTTTTTCCCCCTCACAAATTAACAAAGATCCTTCTACCATGACTTTGGAAGTTTCACTGTCATGATCTCTAGGTGTAAGTTTAATTGCAGCACGCAAGTGCTAAAAGCTGTCATAATGCAGGTTACAATGTTGGAATAAGAATTAACTACATAAAAATGTCATCTCTCTTGTGCACTGAAAAGTAGCAAAAACCCATGATTTAGGCAAAGAAGGTAGGTCACTGCCCCATTGCAAGGCTGTAAGGAAGTCTGGATGTATTTTGACACTGAGGGAGGAGACTTCATAGAAATGAGATTCAACCACACTCTGCACACAGTCTTTTACTTCAAGGTTGACAGCCAAAACAAGTAAAAGCAGAAAGCCAGTATTTCTTATCAGTTGTCCCCATCTTGAATGAAATGACTTGCCTAATAATTTTTCAATAACCTACATTGTGCAGGACAGTTGAGGGTTTTAGTACAGCTGAATGGAACATAAAATTCAGCACCATTTGGTACTAACCAAAATACCTTCCTGTCAGTCTTAGCAGAGACGTCAGGTCAAACAGACTCTCAACTAACCTCTGATCCTTAGTGGTGGTCCCTCCAAGTCAGGGTTTAGGCAAACAGGAACATTGCACAGCCGCTTTCCATGCTGTATCTGCTCTGTGAATAAATACAGAACTTCAGTCTCCAGAACTATGAATCCAGCATGTGTCACCAGCATCACAAGTCTTAAACAGTTCAAACAAGAGAAAGAGAAAGACAAATACAACAGCTATTGAAAAAACAAAGAAAAGAGTTGATTGAGGGCAGGGGGAGGCAGAGAGCGAGAAAGACGACAGGTGTCCACAAAAGAAAAAGAACGCAGATAACGTAATACCAAGAAGATATTTTAGAAAAGTGTCATTAAACAAGAAAGGAAGTGCTAGCCGTAAAGATTCAACAAGATATATGAGTCACAAAAAAAGACTCTGTTTACAAATACCAAGAGACTAGAAGTCAGGTATAGTTTGTGCTGACAGAAGCTAGACATAAAATGATTTTATTTTACCGATAGCAAGCTTGGGAAAAGAGTGGTTTGAAATAAGACATGAAAGAGACACATGACACCTACCGATGTAAAAAAAAAACCAAAAAAACCATGCATGAACCAAGCATGCATCATATACTTAGGTGGGGTAAGACTATTTCCTCGTTGTTATACCTGAGTATAACGAGACTTAAAATTGTGGTGTGACATTGGAGTGACAAATAGTCACACTGAGTATTTGTCCTAAGAAAACCACCCTGTTTTCTGTCCAAATAATAATTTTACTTTGAAGCTAGTGGTTGAAAAAGACACTGAGAGATGTAAAGCTTTCCAGAAAAGAACATTTTACTTTCTATCTCCATGCTTGGAGGCCTTTAGCTGGAATAAATGTTGGAGGGAAAAGTCATAGATGTTCTGAAGAAAGCTAGTGGACTTAGAACAAGATTAACAAATTCCTAAGTGGTTTTGAGTACTGACTTGTTCCTCTTGAATACAGACTAACTACTTCTTGCAGAATGAAATCAATAACTTTTTCAACTCTAAACCCCTGCTTGAGAAACTAGGCAATACCAGTTAAGTCTCTTCAATAAACTTACCTGCTGATAGGACAAAAAAAGCCATTGTTATCATTGACAAATTCTGACCTTTATGATTTAAGGATCTCATGCTGAACATCCTACTCAGCAGGCTGGAGTAGAAAGGATAATCCTCAACTATATACCACACCTTTAGCCATTCTTCAGCTACAGTTTGATGGAACTTGATGCTGAAGACTGAATTAAGCAAAAATCTTAACAACTCAGCTGTCCAGAACTGGTGGTGAGACATTAATTCAGCATGCTAAGTTCCATATAACATTTTAGGCATTCTTTTCACTGCATGCATCTGGATCTGCTGATAAATTCCTAAGAAGCATGATTCCGTAATGTCACTGACATCAAGATGAGCAATAAAATATCTAGCATTTAGGATAAACCAGTGACATCTGCTATGAATTTGGTCATAACAGAAAATCTTTTATAGAAAAAAAAACAACAAAGAAAATAAACCACTTGAGTAATGAGGAAATTATGTGCTTAATTCAGTTTTCTTTAAAGGAGAAAAAACAAGTCAGTGAGTGAACAGAAACTTCAGGTGTTCAGCATGAGCTGGCAGAAACTTCTTTGAAGAGAAATAAAACTGGCTGGTATAAGGCACAACTCCTTGGTGTACCAACACCATTGTAAACATACATGCAAATAAATGATTCCATGCACCAGGGATGAAATTCTATACCTAATGAAATCACAAGTGATACTTCCATTTCAATGAGGGCAGGAAATAATCCAAGTAATATGCAAAATTGTGGGGGCACCACTGTACCAGATGGACTACCTCCCAAATATGCAACTATTCCAATTCATACCAGGTGAGAATCTGGTACTCACTATAAAGTTTTATTTAGACTTGAGATTAATTACTTATCTGCAATGGTAGAATATAAATACTCACGGTTTTATTGGATTGATACAGAAAGTAATTGGTTTAGGAAATAGAAATAAAGAACAATAAATGCAGCTCACCAGTATCCCAAGTGCTGATATTGTGGGGAGCACTAGACTGGTGTTCCAGCTGCCTCTTCATTAGCTGGTTCATTGTCAGAGCTCCCAAAGAGCCTCTTTTCATTTGTCTGAACTGAGCTGCAAGTCAGAAATGCAAAAGGATTTCAGGGGCTCAGACAACATGTAAAACTACTCTTTTCCTGATCTTACAAGCCAGCATGAGATAAATACTGAAAGGACAATGACTGCTTGCTCTAAGGATCTTGCTCAAGTCAATATGCACTTTTCACGCAACTACACAGGGTACAATTCTGGCCCCAATGACATCAGTCGTAAGTGACTTGCATTCGGGATCTCATCCACTGTGTCAACTGCCTGTGCCTTTTGGTCTCCAAATATCATGAAAGCTTTTCAAAACACTTGGTATCTGTGAAGTGTAAGATACTACCCCAAAATTTCCATGCTGACAGGCTATAACTGTGTACTTGAATCTCATTCACATACAATGTACCAGGGAAGGAAACTCAGTCTCCTCCCAGCAAAGTGTGGAGGACTGCTCTGTCCACGCTCACCGCAGGAAAATGAATTCACTGACTGCACACCACCAGCACCCTTCATGGGTGATGCAACCTGAACAGGCCTCCCAAATACCCACCTCTCAGGCATACCACCTAGACATTATTTTGAAGTGTGAAGCCAAAGCCAGCATGACTTTGAAGATGCGTCCCTTTTGTAACTTCACTGCCATTCTTCTTGCATGGAGCTATCAAGCCACAAGCATTCGATTTTTCCTCATCCAACTACTTAAAATACTTCCTTAAATGGATATTACTGTTTGCCTTAAGAGATGTGTCTCACTGGATAACGCTCCCCCCCCCCCCCAAAAAAAAAAAATTTGTGGATTTAAAATTTAAGATTTTATCAGTGCTTAAATGGAAGAAGAAACAGATCCTATGCAACTCGTTGATTCCTTACTTTTTTCTCTATTCATAAGAAAATTCAAATTGAACAAACATAATACATTCACTTTGACAGTTGAGTCTGAGTAATACATTTCCACCATTGGAATCAAAATCATTATTCACAGTATGAAGACAGAGTTTTAAGGCCCTGCTTGAGCAAGGCATGTGAGACTGCTGACACGCATCTCCATGCAGGAAAGCTTTTAAAATGTTGCCTTAAGTATATGTTTAATTCTTTCCTCAACAGGGCCCTAAAGCAAGGGCAAGAAAGAAGAATCTTCTCCTAATGATTATTTTCATCTGCAGCTACACTCAACACTGTTAAAAAGAGTATTAACATAATATCAGGTACTTCCTTTCTAAAATTCCAAACAGTACCTAGCTAAGCTCTGAAAATAAACCCAGCATTTCACGTTATTAACTGTGATGAAGAAGTACAGACAAGGGATAAACTACAACTTTCAGAAAGCTCTGAAGGGTTGAGTGCCTTCCCCTACACTCGTGCTACTCAGTTTCTGAGAGTTTCAAATTCAGAGTAAGCAGAGTACTCCCTAACAAAACAAATACAGGCCCTGAGTAATAATAAACACAATGATAACTTCAGTGGGAATCTGCACACTGAAATTATTTTATTAGGTGAAGTATTTTAAGTTTTCCCTCATTATATCCTTTCAGGATATGAGGGTGCATTTAAACTCTATTTTTGGTCCAAGTACAAACTTCTCCAGCATTGCTGCAAAGCAGTCCTTGTATAACTGAACTTCTGGAACTGAACCAGACCAAGAGACCATTCCATGTTTCACTTTTAAAAGCTATATTGCAGCTGCCTTTCACAGCAAATTAGGAGAAAAATAGAATTTCCATCATTTCCAGGGCAAGGATTTTAAATAGATGCTTTATCACTTTATCAAGCATAGAATTTCCTGATGAAAGAACAGCAATTAATGTTAGAACTGACAAGACTGCTTGGAGTGCAGATGACTGTCAAAATATAGAAAATTATCTCTTTGAATTTTCATAACAGCTTTTGCAATTGTAATTGAAAAAATTTCATGCATATTTCACATAATCAGGCTATTGTTGAGCAGGTTTGGATTTCCAGGGTTATTTACCTGATTTCTCAAGGACAGCCATGATTTCAAATATTGGTAAGTTAAGAAAAAAATCTAAAAACCAAAAAACCCAGAGAGCTGCCAGCCTTTGAACAGTTTGGAGCCAGGCTGATTGCTGTGGACCAGCACATGACTTTTCATGCCTATGACTGACTGGTGGCATAGGGAGGGAACTTTTCCTTGATCAGATTTTCTACAAGAAACCTAGCAATCATGAGATCAGTAACCTTCATATAGAATCATAGAATCATTTGGTTGGAAAAGACCTAAAGATCACTGAGTCCAACTGTACCTGTCCACTGCTAGACCATGTCTCTGAGCACCTTGTCCACCTGTCTTCTAAATACCTCCAGGGATGGGGACTTGACCACTTCCCTGGGCAGCCCATTCCAGTGCCTGATAACCCTTTCAGTGAAGAAATTTTACCTAATATCCAATCTAAACCTCCTCTGGAGCAACTTGAGGCCATTTCCTCTTGTCCTATCGCTTGTTACTTGGGAGAAGAGACCGACCCCCACCTCACTACAGCCTCCTTTCAGGTAGTTGCAGAGGGCGATAAGGTCTCCCCTCAGCCTCCTCTTCTCCAGGCTAAACAACCCCAGGTACCTCAGCTGCTCCTCATCAGACTTGTGCTCCAGACCCCTCATCACCTTCCTTGCCCGTCTCTGGACACGCTCCAGCACCTCAATACCCTTCTTGTAGTAAGGGGCCAGAAACTGAACACAGTATTCGAGGTGTGGCCTCACCAGTGCCAAGTACAGGGGCACGATCACTGCCCTGATCCTGCTGGCCACACTATTCCTGATACAAGCCAGGATGCCGTTGGCCTTCTTGCCCACCTGGGCCCCCTGCTGGCTCATATTCAGCTGGCTATCAACCAGCACCCCCAGATCCCTCTCTGCCGGGCAGCTCCCAGCCACTCTTCCCCAAGCCTGTAGCGTTGCATAGGGTTGTTGTGACCCAAGTGCAGGACCCAGCACTTGGCCTTGTTGAACATCATGCAACTGGCTGCAGCCCATCAATCCAGCCTGTTCAGATCCCTCTGTATAGCCTCCCTACCCTTGAGCAGATCAACACTTCCATCCAGCTTAGCGTCATCTGCAAACTTGCTGAGGGTACACTCAATCCCCTCATCCAGGTCATTGATAAAGTTGTTAAACAGAACTGGCCCCAGAACTGAGCCCTGGGGAACACCACTTGTGACCGGCCGCCAACTGGATTTAACTCCATTCAGCACCACCCTTTGGGCCCAGCCATCCAGCCAGTTTTTTACCCAGCAAAGAGTACGCCTGTCCAGGCCACGGGCAGCCAGTTTCTCAAGCAGAATGCTGTGGGAAACGGTGTCAAAGGCTTTACTAAAGTTCAGGTACACTATATCCACAGTGTTTTCCCTCATCCACTAAGTGGGTCACCTTGTCATAGAAGGAGATCAGGTTGGTCAAGCAGGACCAGGTGATCAGGCCCCGTCTCATAAACCCATGTTGACGGGGCCTGATCACCTGGTTGTCCTGGACGTGCTGTGTGATGGCACTCAAGATGATCTGCTCCATGACCTTCCCCAGCTGCAAAGTCAGACAGACAGGCCTATAGTTCCCTGGATACAGTAGCTGGTGAGCCACTCATATCTTAGCTAGTGATCTGGTCAGTCATCCCTCCATTGCTGTGGAATTCTCTACTCAAGAAGAGAAGTCCAAAGACAATATCTTCCTATCACAGTTAATGATGTATGCTTTCTGCAGCCAGGCACTGGCTGTACAAGTAATGTTATATGTTTGTGTTACAGAAGTGCCTTGTGCACACAGTCCTGATCAGGGCTTATGATGCAAAGCACTATAAAGACACATAGTAGAAGGTCAAAAATACTTCAGTCTAAATGGACAAGAGACACAATGGAAGCATTCAAGTCCCTTTTTGCAGTTGGAAACTGAGGCACACAGAAAGAGGAAAGGAATATTTACAAAGGAATGTAGGCTCAATATCATATACATACTATTCCCAATTTCATATATTGTATTTTACAGGAACACCTAGCACTCAGTGAAACCAGACAGAGATAGGTCTTAACCGGCACCTCTTTATCTGCTTTAGTAAGTAAGTGACTTCTGTATCATTAGGTGGCCAATAAATGTACTCTGACTATGAAACACACATGACATCAGACACTTGTAATAAAACTGGAGAGGAAACCTCTGATTTGGAGTACTCATCCAGCATGTCTAAAATAACATTTTCCTTTAATAGGCCAGACACCCCTTCCAATCAAATCAGCAGATGCTGAATTTCAGGAATTAGAATTTAACTTTTCTACAGCAATCTGAAATTGCAGTTCAGCAAGACAGTTGAGCTGATCTAGCAGCTCACTGGTATCAAAATGGGTCATCATTCCCCCTCCCTTTTCTACTAGTCAGAGTCCTGTCCCATCAACCTTTGGATGTGTTACTTAACATTACCTAGATGGACACGCCATTCTGGATTTTGTTAGTGTTCTAAGATGCCTCCACCTTCCAATGTTATCTACATCTGCTCTGTTAAGCCATGTGTCAATGTCCACTTAAACCAGTTCACTTTCCATTTAAATGGGTATGGGAGTCTCAGATAGTTACCACATTTCAGCAAGCAGCTGAGGAAGTGGCATTTCATGGCATTTTACAAAAATTGCAAGAGATTTTTTTCCTAAGGTACAGCAAGAAATGTACTGAAGACCATAGTAACAGCCCTGTGGAACTCTCATCCTCTGCTTCTGTGCACTGACAGTTGACAATGCCTTCTCTCACTGGAAAATAAACATTCAGCTTTAGTGAAATAATACTTTTAGTTGCTACCTACTCTAATTCAAGAAACTGAGTGACAAATGACTATATTTGTCAAATTTGCCATGTCACAACAGAAAATCTTGCAGCCACTAACTGCTAAAATCCTGCTGACCATCAGAGATTTAACAGATCTAGTGAAATCCAACACAGATGTACTTCCAAAATTCAATGAAACTCAGGGGAATCAGTTACCATACACAATACGCATCTGACGCACAAACACAGCAACTTAGATTTAATCCTCAAACTAGAGGTAAACTTACTTGATATGGAAGAGTGACTACTTGTCTCTGGGACACCTGCTTCAAGGGTCGGTGCAGATGATGACTCTCTTGGCATTTCCAGTGTTGAAAGTCCTTTGGCAGCAGGATCTGAATATGAAAACTGTGCTTAAACTCTCAATATTTATAATCAATAAATATTTTCCATCCATTTTCTCCCTGGATGCCTTTTTCACATCTTTTCAGTCATCCATTCACCATCTGGCATTCCCATCATTTTTAAAAGGATTCAGTGTGTGTGTGTTGTAAGAATTTTTATAGAGGCACAAGGATCTACTGCTTAAAATCACTTTTTAAAGGAGTTTTCTACCTATGTTCTTTAGAGCCCAGAACTAATAAACACACATAGAGTTTGATTTTGATCCCATTCACAGAGTGATTACCAGAACCACCAACATGGAAATAAGAGAGATACCACTGATGTAAAGCTAGTTTAAGTGACAGCTTAGCATCTTCTAAAAGCCTTGTCTCCAACATGTTACCAGTTTTTGTTCAAAAGGCTGCTGATGTAGTGGTTGATCCTTACGATTCAAAGAGTTAAAGATTCTATCATTAAAAAGAAAAATATGCCATTAAAACTAATGTTTTTGTTTTATGATAACTGATACTGTCAATATGGGAAGAATAAAGCAAAGAAATTTTCACGTGTTGACGGCTGGTTTCAGCATATCCTATAAAAATGAACATGTAACTGTGCTGTAAAAAGTCTCAGGCAGGAAACTCTGTAGCCCAGCATCGTGAACGTGAAGAAACAGCCCATTAGGATATTTAATTCAGAGATCAGTTATATCAGAAGCCCTTCTAAAACATATGGAAGTATAATAGGCTGACAGAGCTTGAATAAGCCTTTGAAATTATAATCAGCCCATTATGATGGCAATATTAAGCCTACTTAAATGAATTACAACACGTATGTTCTCAAATAAACTAATCAATAAGGCTAAACAAAGCAAAACAGAACATAAGAGATACATTAAACTACTCAAGTGACTAAATTACCTAGTTATCTGAATTGCCTGTATCCACCTGTAACATACGTGAGCACTTAATGAGTCATTGTGAATGTTTTATGCTCCCTTTGGATGACATACTTAGATGCACGCAGCCAAATGACCATCATATATGCTATACTCCTAGGTTCCACATGGTGCTTCAGAACTGGGACAGCCCTTCCAAGCAGTTTCAAGGACGACAGTGTAAGTTACTGCATGAAACCTGACCCTAATGGTCAAAAAAGCATTTGAGTCTAACTAACTGCACAATTCTTTCATGACTATTCTTCTCTAAGAACCTATGTGGTAAGTTCAAAAGCACTCAGCTCTCTTTTGTTTTTACAAAGTTCCAGAAGTTCTTCAGCTTACTGGAACCATAAATGGGACAATAGGCCCGAAACATAAAGAGAACAGCATAACCATGATCACACTGAATGATTTCTCCTTGTAAAAGTGGAATATCGTAATAGGAAATTATACCATGGTTTCCTCTGAGGCAATTAAGAAAGAGGTGAGGTCAGAAATGCATAAATATTCCCCCTCACTTCATGGGCAACAAAGAACTGAGGCCTGAGGGATCTTTTCCTTTTTTAATGAATACATTACAAAAAGACTGGTAAAATTCTAATAACTGAAAAATCCTGAAAAAAACCAGCCACAGAGGTAAAGAGGAAGCAGCAATACAGTTCTTAAAACTGTTTGACACATCCAATTGGAAACTAAGGAAACAGCTAAAACACACTTTCTCTAGACCTGAAAAACTTAGTAACAAACCCCTGTATTGAAATGACCTGAAAAAAACTTGGGATACACAGAAATACTGTATGGCTTTCCCCATGCTTGAACTTTAAATCTTTAACAAACACAAGCCATGTAAACTTTGTGGATAACTAATACAAAGAAGGCTACAAAAAGTTTTTAGTGTTTAAAAAAAAAGTATGTGTGTATGTCTGATCCTAAATGCAAACTAGTTAATTCCAAGTGCTCTTTGTCTGAAGTCTACAGCCTGCTCAGCTTTACACTTCATGATCCAGTCTGCTTTCCGCTGCCTTATGCTTGCAGAAAAGATAAAGGCCAAAAATCACTACACGTAAAAGAGAATCTGTGCAGCATGGACTAGCATAAAAAGCACAGAAGTATGACAATTTTTCTCACTCCCCACATAAAGAGGCCATGGAGTTTCACCCCTAACTTGGATATCAGAACCAATATTTTTGTCACTGAGCTCCACTTCCTTTTCAAATGGGCCCTCACACATGCACAGCACCTGTATGGTTAATACATTCCCTGTGAGAAACAAACACCTGAAAGCATTCAGCTAGCTCAGACCACATCAGATGCTATATATACACATCGCTCCCTATACATACACACATCTCTCCCTACACTGGTCTGTAACTAAAACCTTCATGCAGTAATAAGCTTTGTGATTGGATCAGTGATTGAGCTCACCTGCCTCCTTCTGCTCTCCCAGCTTGTCAAGGATGTTAAAGGAAATGTCCAGGTATTCTCTCTGAATAGCACTCACAGCAATCTTCCTCTGCTTTCTCTGGCGAGGAACAATCTGAATCTTAAATTCTGACTCCTCTGTCTCCTCTTCTTGTTTCTGCTCTGTGTTTTGTTCAGTATCAGACTCTGTGTTGGTATCGAGTTTATCACTTTCTGTTTGGTTTTCGGAATCTTCGGGGACTTTAATATGGACTGTCTTTACATTTGGGCTTGGAATTGCTCCACTAGGTCTAATTTCCTCCACACTGAGCTCAGAGTTATCATCAATAGACATTTCTGGAAGGGCAAATGACTTCTGCAGCAGGTCCCTTTTCTGTTTCAATGTTAGTGGGTTCCCAGAGGACACGTCCTGAGGTTCTTCTGGCTTAACTAACTCTGAAGCGTCCTTTTGATCTTTCGGAGAAGTGGAAAGGATCTCCTCTATCCCTGCTGAAGCACTGTTGCTTGTATCCTTAGAACTAAAGTCTTTGGAACAATCTTCAATGCTGAACTGGACCAGAGGAGTTGTGCTGAGACTGAGTGCAGAGACATTGATAGGAGTTGAGGGAGACGACGCAGCAGTTTTGCCAGAGACCTGGTCATTCAGCTGGTTTGTTGTTTCTTCTTCTTCATCGCTCTCCACTATTCTAAGGGGAGGAAGAGGTTCAAAGACTAAAGAGTCACTGTCTGAAGTGGAGAGTACTGAATGCTTTTCAGGACCTGATGTTGAGTCAGAGGACAAATCTATCAGATCTAAATCTTCCTTGGGACCAGCAGGTTTAAGCGGAGAGTCCACTTTCACTTCATAGGTTTCCATGCAGTTTAACCTCACTTCTGGTATGACAGGTCTTCTTGTTTCCTGGAAACTCTCTGTACGAGGAAGATTTTCTTGTGTTTCTGTATTTTCAGCTTTAGTAGAAGAATTCTGCCGAGATCGTCCATAATCACTCTGCCTGTGTATGGCGTAAGCAGCAGGGACAGGTGGTTTTTCTAAGTCACACCGATCTATGCAGGACTTCCTGCGATGTTCATCTAATGAAAACAACAGGGAGTCTGCATTCCCTATATCAAGAGATTTTTGTTTTAGAGAGCGCAGTTTTTTTTTCTGAATGCTTTCTTCTCTCACACAGCGTAGAATACTGTCTTGTAAGGCCCCCGTCTCTCTATATTCAGCCAGCTCTATTTCACCTGATTAAAACAGAAAGAGCTAATACTACCTCAGTTGGAGACTTATGGCAGATACCTTCATCTTTATCTCACAATTCAACACAACTGGCATTTCAAATACAAACCCAGTATTAAGTCAAAATTGTCTAAATTTTGTTTTAACCTAAGAGCCACATTGCAGATTTTTACAATCAACAACAAAACCCCCTACTTTTGGATAATAGGGTTTATTTAAATTCTATCCAAATTCTACTCATCCTGGACAGATGTACCCTGAAGACAGACTGTTTAACCTTACGCATTGAATAGAAGATAGCACAGGCAACTAATTTCTACAGACACTTGGGATGGCTACATTAGGCATGAGAGATGAAAGACAAAATGAGCTACACAGACCACTCTGAAGAGGTTTCAAAATAAATTTGGCCTACAGCATTGTGGACATCATTTGGACATCAGTGTATATTGAAGCACATCTACACATGTTATTTACTGCATCAAAGTGGGCTTAAAAGTGATGTGTCTAATTGAAGAAGCAAGGGTAGCAATAGCAGCGAGGGTACGGCAGCACAAGCCTAAGATCAGATAGGAGTTCAGAGGATTTTTCCGCCAACGATCCTAGACCCCAGCGGAGCCTAGCAACTGTCACACCACATAGTCATACCTCCCCGTCCTAGGGAGGAGTGAAGTGAGCACAGTCATACTTGCTGGTACTACCACTGCATTGGTATTTTACTGCGTGAACACATTCATTGAGAACATTTTAAAAGGTTATCACTGTTGTTATTATGAAAGACATAGTTTCACATAAAACAGAATACTCTTGATCATTATTATCCCCATATTTCACAATGATCCACATATGAATCATCATGCAAAAAAGCAGTGAGAAAAGTTAAAGTAGATGTTTGCTGTAGTCAGAATCATTCCCCCTCCCCGTGCAAACACCTGACAGAAAAAAAGGCAAGTGGGTGGGGGTGGAAATCTCTTCAATTTTTTTAGGGTATTCATTTCAGAAACCTAAATTTGAAAACAAAATCCTTCCTATTTTTTGAAACCATCGAATGACCCTTTTTACCAATGGAAAACCACAACATTTGCAGCAGCAACAATAAATTTGCTTACCCTAGAGTCCCACCTCATAAAAAAATGAAATTTCTGAGAAAAAATAAATTTGAGTAAAAATCTTCAGCCCAATGTGGAAGAAAATTGCAGCCAATGCTCTTAAACATTTTTACATTTGAAAGAGTTTAAAGTTTCAGAAAACAATTGCTGGGTTTAGATATTTTTATTTTGGAGTGCCTACTTTGAGACACTTGTAAGAGAATTCACTCAGGGAAATGAGGAGTACCTGCACTCAAAAGTCAGAGTCCTTGTATTCAAATTAGGTAGTGCAACAAACTCTACAAAGAAAGGTGGTAGCTTGAAACTAAGAGTAGGAAATTGTATTTTTGCATGAGTTTATACCAACGAAACAATTCATACTTCTCTGAGCATTCATCTCAACTGGTTGATATTTCACCATTTTGCTGCCACCAATTCTTTTCAGTCTTGCAAAGAAAGTTTGAGATTCTTTATTGCAAGGTCCAGTTGGTGTATCATGAATATCAGATTCATCAAAAACACTGTCTTCCTCTGCTGGAGAAAAAAAAAACTTTATTACTCTTAAGAGAGTGCAATTCCTTGAATGAAAAGCTGTCTGTGTAACAAAACCTCAGCTAGTTTCAATTAAACCTGAATTGGAAAATGAAGAATCATCTGAAGTTTGCAAGAAAATTTATATCCCAGGTATAACTTTGCCATTCTTGTTACATCTTGAATTAAGGTCAGAAAGGACAGAGAAAAAATGAAAAATGGGTTACAATGCAACAAAAGTATATCAAAGTTTTTACCATTCTAAGCTGATCTTTTCTACTAATTTCCTACTAATACAGATTCTTTAGATGGAAGAAATAGAATATATCTGGATACTGACTTGAGTAAATATATAGTGCTCAGTGAGAAATGGTAAACTGAAGAAGATCGAAATTAGAACAAGAACTGCAAGGTCAGTAATAAGCCAGCAAAATAGGGAAGTGAAAAAAGGAAGAAATGGATAATCTTGGGAAGCTGGTAATAGTGATAGAATAAGACCAAAGAGTATGAATTACAAAAATATCGGTCTAAGTAGTAATAGTAAAACTTAATGCTCCAGTTTGAGACCTGCTGGTTGAAAATGGCAGAAAGTAAGAAAGATCCAAATCCATTTACCCATCAAAAAATAACCTCATCACCTATATGAAATGGCTATAAAAAAAAAAAGAAATAAAAAAAGGAAAAATCCTTATCTATCATGTCTAGTGATTCATCTCCAAGGAAATAAGAAACACTACTGGGACAATACAGAAAACAGAGTACTCAAGAGAAGAAACAGAAAAGTTTGCCTTGTTTATTCCAGTAAGCAAACATGGAGAGGAAATGCATTTTGCGTCTAGGAATGAAAAGGCAAGCAAGCCAAAGAGTTAGAATGGCCCAAAACTGAAGACTTAAACTGGGCATTAATATCTTCAGCAGCCCAAAGCCCTTCACAACAGCTCTGGAAAGCAAGTAAATACTATTCTCCTTGCTTTAAACATAGGGAAACAATGATGAAGTGAGACCCAAGGCCACCCAGGGAACCAATGTTGGACACTGAATTGGAACATTGAGTTTTCTGAACTTGGCACTTACTGTGAACAGCAAGCTGGGTACTTAGGCACCTCGCTTTGTCTTAGAAATGTCTCAAAATCAATCCAGAAACTGAATGCATTTTATGAGTGTATTACTACTACCCTCAGCATTCTGAAGTCATTATGAATTAAGTCATTAACTGAGCTCAAAACAAAGAAAAGTTTATAGTAAGCCCACAGTTATCTGAACCCTCTTAGCCCTCCTCTAGCAATAGAAAACATCCAAGTGAGTGAGAATATGCAATACATCATTTACATCTATCTTAAGGTTGTGTTAATTTGCTAGCACTGAGTAATAGGGTGTTCAGGTAAACAAAATTTTGTGTCCTTGTTCTGCTGGCTATGTGTTTAGGAGCAACAAGCAGCAAAAGAGGAAAAGGTACTAAAATAGCACATAAGTGCATAAAAAGAGTGTCTCATGTATTCTTCAGAACAGTTTGCTGCACACTAGGAAGACTGTTTGAGAAGGATGATGTAAACAGCAAATAAGCAGATAAAAGGCAAAATAGCTGAAAGGCAGCTACAGATTAGCGTCAGAAGAACCTGTTAAACTTTGATCATAAATACTTAGCATGTAATTAACTTCACAGTTGTAAGGAGCTACACTCAGTGACACCATGTTATTTCAAGCCCCAACCTTACGCCAGTTCACGCCATCACAGTACCTCTGATACAGCTAGCAAGAATATACAGAGTTAGCAATTGGGTGCAGGCTCTAAGGGTTGAACCCTCTTCCGCCTTTAGACTTCTCTTTTCAATATCAAGTATTTGCTACTATGCCACATTATTATAAGTATAATCAGAATGTGGTGTCAGACTGTTGCACACCTTGTGCATGGGCATGATCAGTTAATATTATCATAGAAAGGCCAAGGACTATTCAGGCATGGTGACTGAACTACTAAGTCTAAGGTACACTCCCTCCACGAGAAGATACGCTGCTGTGTTATGCTTAGCCTGCAGAGAAATTGTGAATTTCTTTTACTCTAGATGGCTATAGCTGGTCAGATAAGTCACACCTTGGACTTAATCCTGAGTATCATGTTCTAAAATTCAGACCATATTTACCCATTTCTACAACATCTGCAAGACTTAATGAATTAAATCAATGTCTATCATATAAATAAGAGTGTCAAAAGTACCTTTTTCCTTTTCGCTGTATCGGCTTATGTTACTGTTGTCACTATACAAAGGACCAGCAGTTGCATGGGGCTTGCAGCTGTGATATTGAGCATTGAGGGTATTGACTGTGATGTGGATTAGGTGAAGTACAATCTTGCTGATTTCACAGTCTCTGTAGGGGTACTGTTCAGTGAAAGAGAAAAACTTCAGCTTAAAACCTAACTTTTCTCCTTGGATAAACATTTAGGCAGTAAAATAGAAAAATGACAAGAATATTGTCAGCTGGATGCCCCTTGCCTGCCTTTGATCATACATTTCTAAATACATCATGAGAAGCAGGCCTGTTTTCAGCTTTGTACAAGGAATTATTAAAAAAAAAATCCCTATTAGTAAGGTTTAATATATTTTTTACTTGACTTTTATATGAAAAAAACAACTATTAATAATAATGCAAAAGGTCTCTCATTAGAACTGTTCTCCAAATACTCTATTTCAATCAGCATATTATCATTCGTTTCTAGTGTCTTCACTTCCTTGTATGCCCCCCATAGACCTGCTAGAAATTCGTTAAGCATATCAAAAATATTCACAGCTCCATTTTAGTGCATAAAAACACATTACATTTTAACAACACTTCCTAAAAAGCATCATTTAACTAAAGAATACAAGCTGTTAAGCTGACCCCCCCACTTAAAGTTAATAAATTTTTTTAAAACTTATTCTAAGTTACTCGAAATACTATTCATTGGAACTTTATAAAGCATTTTCCTGTTTTCAAATCTGTTTTTCTTTCTCAGCCATGTGAAAGACAATATAGACAGCAGAAGTAATAGTCAGTAGCACAGATGAAAGCCTAACTACTTCAGATATTGAAATGAAATACAGTGAGTAAGCAAATAAAAGTGTTCTTTACAGTTCCTTTCACTTGAAGTACAGTTAGGTATTCCCTGCAATAAATTTCATATTGACATGTAAATTTTAAATTGGACAGTGTCTTTTTAAGACCACTCACCTTATAGAGAATAACAAGCAAAGCCTTTAACCACATCTGCCGAATGTGAGGTTTGAGGGACCACAGGGAGCAGCGAGGAGGCTGCTGAAAGTAATGCCTTAGCTGAGGACAAGTGCAATATTTCAACACCTGCACCACCAAGGGAAGAAGGTGTTTTCCCAGGCTGATGTTATAGTCCATCACCTGAAAAGAGTATCAGCACAGGAGTTAGCTCACCAAAATCAAATCCGCTGATGTGGAAAAGCAAAATAACTAATACCTTAACGGTATTAGTTAAGTGAAAAGAAACAGACATTTTTAAGGAAGTCTTACTATCCATTAGAAACTTTCTGCCAGCTTGCCAGGTTCTCATTTTAGCTAGGTAGGTAAAATGGAACAAAAGGAGATGTGCTCTCTAAGCCTTTCATCCTGCACAGTCTAAATTTTAACATAGATTGGCAAGTTCATAACATATATTATGCTGGGATAGCCTGGGATAGCCCAAGTTGATCATGCTTCAACAGCCAACATGATATTAGGTATATCCCATGTATAACACATATGATGCAATTGTGTGGTTTTGGAGGGGGGGTTGTGTATTTGGATTATTTGGGGGGGTTATATTAACACTGCATTGCCAGTTTTCATTATTTTCTCACCAGACTTGTAACATTAGCTGTTGGGTTCTTTAAGCCCCATGTTCTGGAATCAGATAATGAGACAAGAATTCCACTCTTCACTTCAGCAAAGGTAAGACTGTGTCTGTGATATCATGGAGAAGGTCTAAGCATGCAAATCCTAAAGGATCCAAGAATAAAGCTAATGAAAAATATCTTGCTCTAAATAAAACTCTCATCGATTTTAAGTGCTGGTGTTGCCATAGACAGGTTGCTGTTATTACTGCTAGTCATAAGCCTTGCTTCCAGCATGACCTTTGCAGAGCATCACGCTACCTGGTGCCCATCCTAGAGGTTTGAATCCTGATGGCTAGGTGCAGCGTGGGCAAATATTCTCACTGCCCTGACACAGCTGTGTTTTCGACTGAAACTGCATTGCTATTTTTCATTATCTTCTCATCAGTCTTGCAACACGTGGCCTTAAATAAAAAAAAATAATGTCCTGAAATCAACAGCTAGACTAGATGATAACAAGGACCCGCAAAGCCCTTGTCTCTGACTCCAGCCCATACTGGTTGATACCCAGGAAGGTATAACAGCAGGACAAGCAAACCCCAGCACATCTCCCAAGATCTAACACGTCCCTGCAGTTTCAGTGGACTTAGCACTTTAACGGGAGCCCTGTACATCTTAACAGACACAAACATCAGCTTCATCCACATCGCCCATTTCCTTCAGGTTTGTATTTCCTTTTTTGGTTTTGTTTTTATTAGAACAAGGGGGTAAGCCTAATTTACAAACAGAATTGATCTCTCAAGTTCCCTCCTTAACAAGCTGACTAGAGGTTTTTCCCTGTAAAATTCTGTAGTTCAATGTGCAGCCGTCTCAAATTTTTGTGCTGCATGCATAGAGCTAAAGAGATGAATCCCATGTCTATCCATGTAGGGTGAGCCTGTCGAACAGATAATCACCAAATATGGTCCTACCCTGCAATGCCTTGTCCCTTTCAGAGTGAGATACAGTTATATAGCATGGTTAGGAAAAACTCATCCATACAAGGAAGACAGAGCCCTGCCTTAACACAGCACGTACTGCAGTGCAGACATGTCTTAAGCTGAGCAGACCCATTTTTTAAGTTGTCACAGGAAGATCTGGAATAAATGATGCTGCAAATGTTGAGCAGAGCTCAGCCTGGGATGCTGAGCGGAGCCCGGCACTGCTGGCTTCCCCACTCCGACAGGCTTGTACAACATTGCCACCATGCGGGGCAATACTGCACTGACTGCAAACACCAAAACTTGCCCACTTCTGCTGCTAGGGAGAGAAAAAGGCATTTTATGCTTTCAAAATTCCAAATGCTCAGATTTGATGATGCAAAATACTAAGAGTCATTTGATTTTTTTTTTTTGAACTGACCATTCCAATCAAGCTTGGTATCAAAACCAACGAACCAGCGAGTCAGCCAAATCCCAAACTTTGTGGAGCTGATTGGGGCATGCAAGTGTTTATGACTAGGGGAGGGAGTGTAACTGGAATAGATCTCTTAAGAGCTCCATACTGAGTTTTTGCTCTGTAAATGCACCTTCGGACTGCAAACAGCATTTCTCTTGCAGTACAGCAGATTCCTAATACAAAGCAACTCTAGAAAAAAAAACCCCACAAAATATAAATTAAAGTTTTGATGTCTGCTACATGGAGAAAATTCCTGGCCTATTGAAGTTCTCAAGCTCCATTTGATGTCAGGGGAGCCAGGATTCAGCTATGAAGGTTTTCAAACAGAAATGGTGAATTCGGCTATCCTGAGACATTTTAAAGGCGGAAGAGGAAAGGCAGGCGCTGGTATTTAGCATTGGAATATGGAGTAGCTCTGAAAACCAGGTCAATTATGATCATTTGAAGTTTGGGAACCAAAACCTGGAAAAAAAATGTAAAAAAATGTGGGATATACTGCCCTGTGATCTAAACTGCTATTTCCAGACTCTCAATACAACGGTAGCAGGCCTGAATTTCCTTTTACATGCTTCAGCTTAAAACTCCAAGTGAAAGATTATTAACAGCACATAGCAATAGTGCTCCGAGACAATGGATCAGGATGCATTTCCAGCTACCCAGTTTGCATTAACACCTTCTATTTTGCCTGCTGGAACATGGATAGCGGACATCTCCATGACTGTGAAAGTTTATCCCAGTATCTACATTACAACTGAGTTCAAAAAATCACCAGTTCCAATGTAGGAACCAGAAAATCCTGATAAGAACTGGCAAAGAGGTTTGAGCACTCTCTCATTTTTCATACAGTGGTAGTATTTGCACGCCTCCATGCACACAAAACCGTTATCTCTATGCCAGTGATGCAGCAAGTTCATAGTAGGAAGTTATAAATTATCGTACTTCTATTTAACTATTTACTTTTTAACTGCAAAGCAAAAACCTACAATACTTCTATTTATTTACTTTTTAACTGCAAAGCAAAAACCTACAGAAAGCACTCAGGCTACATAGAGCCTTCTGAGAGTAAAGAACAAGCAGCCATCCTTGTTCCCAAAATCCTTCACAAACTGAAGAGGTATTAAGAAGGTTTAAGTAGGATTACAGCACTCAGCCATTATTTTGGTACAAACGAGGCTATGCTACCACCACTTCAACAACAGACAATAAGAAATAGCTGCAAAAAGTAGTAAGTGCCTTCACCTACTTGTGCTATTCCAGCAATAAAGGCATTAAAGCAGGTCGAAACACGCATTTTTTGTGGTGCAATCATGAAGCATCCTTCCTGCAAGCTTTAGCACTGCTGATGTCGGACTCAGCGCTGCTCTCATCTTTTGCCATGAACTTCATTAGCACAGTAATGAGCTGGTGGACAGTCTGGTGATCAATCCCAGCATCCTCTGGCAGCAGATCTTTTATTGTATTATCATTCTCTGGGGAGGGTTGTCCTATCAGCACAAGAGAGATATTGGTATCAGACATTGGATAAGACTGTAAACAGGGTACAGAATACACCACATTTTTTTTTTTCCAGAGTTCATTGCTCCATTTCTGCCCAAATACACATGGTGAAGGTGCAGGAGATAGGCATGCATTTCTGAGGGCATTGTTCCTCTGTTGCCTCAGGTTCAACAGCACATTAACACCTACTGTGTACACTGAAGTCCATTTCTCAGCTTTCCATGTTTAACCCAGCTGCTTACCTTCCCCTCCCAGTGCATTTCCACCAAATTGAGTGTTATTATTCCTTCACATCTATGAAATAAAGGAGAATGAAATCCCACTGCCACCAAATCCTAATCTGGTGTACTTTTCAGTCTTTCCTCAGCAAAAGTTAGTGGATATTAGTCTTTGCCAGCGGAGGATGTACAAATCAGCAAAGGTAAGAGATGGAGAAAATTCTACCAAATAATGATTAAACAAAGAATGAAGACTTCCCCTTTTAGCACGGAGTCCACATCTCCCTCAAGTAACTCGGCCCAAAATTTAGGCACTATAATTTATTAGGTTTTGGAACACTACGTATTATGTCAAAATTTTGATGATTGTTTCCCAGAGAAGAAGCCTAAGACTTGGTTTTATAAACACTGAATGGAAATAATACTTTGTGTGGGAATATGATCATCTGAAAGATGAGAGTCTACTTACAAAGCACAAGGAAGCTTGGGTGCTGGCTATCACTATCCAAGCAAAACAGACGCACGGCAAATAACATTGCAAACTGGGCAAGTATTTTCTTTTTCATACTTCAATTTTTTTTTTTAATACAGTATTTCCAGTTACTTTAAAGACCTTTTATCATTACTAGAATTCTCTAAAAATTGCCTTTGGAGTTACCCTCAATTTGCAAGGCCTTTTTTTACTGCTTAAAAGTTCCTAAAGATCTATGTTACACTAACACTAGGAATTGAATTCGTGAAAAGCAGCAGCTATTTCACCCATCAGTATATCAGACTCTTAAATTACATGCTTCTGTACAAATAAAATGCATTATATATGCATGATATGCAAAATAAATAAAAATTATTTCCACTAGGATAATCAACAAAGGGAATAGCAAATACTATTTTGACAGCATCAAAGGGGGGGTGATACTCGAAAATTAAGTTTTTATTACACCATTAATTTTAGTTTGTTCATTAAACACTGTAACAGTTGACAATTAAAAGTAATTGTTACTAAAATGTATTCTGATGTATTTTCTGATCCGTGGTTAAAAGGCTGCCTAACAGCAAATAATTGAGATGAAGCAAGCTGGTATAAAGCAGAATTATAAAATTATCTGCTTGTTTTCATTTCTAGGGTAAATCCTTTCAACTATTGGAAATAGTCCTTACTTTTGCAAGAGCAGATTAAGTTGAAGTTTGCAGGACAGACCATCCAAGCAAGATTAGCTCAAAGTATAATCTTAAAATTGCTCCTGCATGTCTGTTAGGGTTACTAGCCGGCAACTAATACCCTGTTAGAGTTACTTACATGTCTTAGGGTTTATGTAAATTCAACACTATCTATTTATAGCAAATACTAAAAATTATTTTAATATTCTAATTTACCCATATTCTCAATGGACTATGCTATTCTGACAAGGGACTCCTTTGCTGGTAGAACTGCATCTGTCTTGGGTTCTTCACCAGCAAAACTTCAGTGTCTGCCATTTTAAAAATAATTTTAAATATTTTACATTCTGTTGGTGGGTGAACAAAGGGGTTTGTTCAATTGGCTGTTTTGCTGAGCGTGGGAGAAGGTTGCTATTTCTGTGATAGCTGAAAGTGAAAACTAGGGGAGGAAATTTTCAGAATCACTTCTAGTAAGAATAACTTTGCTTTACTGGTCTCATTTTGGCAAAAAAAAAATCATGAACATCACATTACAGAATATTTCTTGTTCCAAAGAGTTTTCACAGGGATTTTTTATTTACAGAAGCTTTCCTTCAAAATGAAAATTCTTTATCCAAACTTTTGCTGGACCAAGATTTGCAGGTGCAAAAAAAAAACCCCATAAATTCTGAAATAATTAGAATGAGAAATACAGCAAGTTCCATTTTCAGAAACACATTAAAAGTGTATATAGAAAATAACTCCAGCTTTGTGGACATCAACTGAGGAATAATCTTTCTACATATACCCAGGTTAAAATTTTCCAAGAAATTCTATCACAAAGACACCATTTTCATAAAGATTATATTGGACTCTTTTCTTCAGCCCTACTTACTCTTATCTCTATTATATGTAGTGAGATTTTCCTTAAAACAAAGAAGGAGATGAGATGGAATGAGTCAAAGGATCGTGGGGCTCTAAATAAACCCTGATTCTCCAAATAGAACTCAATGAGTAATTAATCTGAAAAGATTAACCTATTTTACTTTCCCTTGCTGAACAACATAATTTAGAAGCTCGGTGATAAAACACTCAATTTTGCCATGAGTTTGTAATACCAACACCAGTTAACAGACACTTCCCAGGACTTTTGACATTTTACTTTCCAGAAATACTATTATTACTTTCTGAAGCATTAAAATCTCATTTCTCATACTTTACCCTCACTGAAAACTATACAGCAGGACACAGTGAACAGAGCTTCACCCTGCATAGTTTGTCATAGCTCTACTGAGGATCAAGTATGGGGAATGTCAATCACCTCCTGTCTTTACTTCTGATGCAGAACCCTGCAATGAACCAGCAATGGAGAACTGCTTGTTTAAAACTACAAAACCCCTACGATCCCATTTAGGCAATAGACTTTCAGAGTCCAGAAAACCTTCCTCTGCTGTCTGAAATGGGTCTTAAGTTATGTCAAGCTTGAACTAAACTTTCACTTCATTAACAAATGATACAGGATAATCCTGTACCAAATCAAGCTGTTTACATTCAATTTAAGAATGCAAAACCAGGGCAGCCCTGTCTTTACAGTGGCTGTGGTAGCTTTTACCCCTCAAAATGTGTGTGCATGCAGATACAATTTGTGTGCATGTGTGTGTGTGCCTACATACAAGGTGTATACATACACACAGACACCCCCCAGGAAAACCTCACATCACCAAACACACAGCCTTCTAGTTAATATACAGCCACCATTCCTGGTATCAGTCTAGCCTTATGCCCACAGATTCATCTCTTTATTCACGTGCCCCTTATATCAGACCCCTTCACCTTCAAATAACTTTAAGGTATATCACAATATAACATAAAACATCAGATCACAATTACATCATGCTTCATCACAATCATGACCCCTGTGCCTATCAATGAAACTCTCTAAGTGACTGTCCAGGGTATTGTAGAGGATAGATGAAAAAATACATGATCCTGGTGTTTAATCCATACAGAAGGCACACTGAAGTCAGCTTACATTTGAACTGTGCAAGGAGTACAGTTTTAGATCTAGAAAGAACAGATGAGCATGAGAACTGGTTCGTTCTAGTGGTATGTATAAAATAAATGTTTTCTACAGCAGATGTACAGCCTACGTTTAGGAGTCAGTTAGTTCCTTAGACGAATCAGATATGCTCAGTACCACCAATGCAAAGTGTTAGAAACTATGAGTCAAACCTTAAAAAAAACTATTTAACAAAAAATAAGATTTTAGAAAGAAATAAACATTGGGCAGGAGGAGAGGGACAGTCATTTGTCTCCTAGTTTCCAAAGTATCTGTGATAATTTTGAACCATATTATCAGACTTTTATTCATATCAGTGGTTACTAGCTGTATGCGACTTTTTATATGTACATTTTTAGTGGAACCTGAATTTGCAGCTTAGGTGATTAATTACCTGAGCCTGGAAACTGAAGCTTTGATATACCAAAATACATCTAATAAAATCACAATAGCTAACAATGCCTACTGTGACAAGTTTCTCTAAGCCCAGTATATAGCAGGTGAGTGATGCCATTAAATGAAGAACAATCATTCACCGACACATCTGTTCATCACACCATTATTTCACTTGTTCCTTCTATGAGCCTGTGACAACCTGCACATATGTTCTGCAAGGAACTGGTTGATTTCCAGCTCTCACTGGGCTAGTATGATAGGGCTATATACTGCTAATTCAGAAGCTGTCCTAGTCCATTTCACAGCTTAGTCAGTGCCCACGCTGGCAAGTTATTTTCCTTTCAGCTGATCACCCAGTAAGCTGACCTGTTCTAATTTTGAATTTGTGTCTGCTGGAAATACTGCAAGTCTTGAACAAGGAGTATGAAAAGATCTGAATCTGAGATTTTTCACTTCCAAATGGTCAGTCTACACAGGACTCAGAGCAAGAACTGTCAGTAGTCACAATTATTTAGAGATTACTTGGACCCTGCTGAGCTAGCAATTCTACAAATGCCCGCAGAAGGGCAACATCTTCACAAAATGTCAGTAAATGTAAAATAAGGGACTTACTTAAGATGTCTGTAAGCATACAGAGGAGACAAGTGTAGTTTACAGTACTGACAGTCAAAAGCATTCTGTCTGCTGTCTCTAAAACCTGAAGGGCAAGGATCAGGCTGAACACAGGTGACCCATGGGGCCAGCCTTCTAAAGATTTACTTGTTCCTGTGGGTAATAAAACACAGGAGGGTGAGCCACTGCCAGCATAGCTGAGTGCTTCTGAATAACCTCCTCCCAGCCCTAAGTACTACTTTCAACTGGGGGCAGTTTTCAGTACAGACTGAGGGCAAAACTTCAGTTTACACCTTTTGGAACCATGCTGAGACATGATTCACTGTGCCTTTTAGACAACTTCTATCTTGCACAAGTTTATCTCATGAATTAGCAAGAAAGCTAGCACTAGTGCCTTCCTTTTCCTGCTCCATCAAAACACCCCCCTTGCCAAACCCACCTGGTGTTTGCTCTGGTGTTCCTCCAAGTGCTGGAGCAGACTGCTCGTGCCTGGTCAAGCTCACAGCTTAAAGAAACAAACAAACAAACAAAACAACACAAGAGCAACTGTGTTTAAAAAGGCAGTACTGACATCTTATACTTCAGCATACATTCAGCGCTAACATATTTATGTTCATTCTCTCATGCACTGTTGTCAAGCAGTGAGTGTAACCGTTTGAAACATGTCACTTCTGTGCCCTACAGATTTTGTGCACATGTTCTATAACTCTAGTTTTCTCCATCATTCAGTTCTGCTAGGACAAGGAGCCCCTATGCAGGATCAGAAATTGGTCAAGAAGGATTACCTAGGAGTCCCAAAATATGGTGGTGTTTGTTTTGGAGAAAATAAATTACCTTTTAACTTAACAGTTCATCAGCACCCAGGTTTGAACATTTTATCAGTTCCTATTATATGGCTAGGAGCAATGTAAGAGGTCCAATTTTAATATAAAGACTAATCTGTGTTTGTAAAATTCTCTCAATGAGAATGGGTAAGCTTTATTTCTGCTTAGAAAGATATCTGTACAGCACTCCATACAGGCCTATGGATTTCCAGCACCTGGATCCTCCTATACAAGCTGGCAGGAAGGATGTGTTGCATGGATGTTGTTTCCTTAACAAAGGAATTCTGAAGATATCCAAAAGCTCATTTGAGACATTAACAGTTGTTTTTAAGATGTCTAGCATATGCTGCATACACTGATTATTAATTATGATTAATAAATAAATCAGTAACAGACGAGTTTTTCTGTAAACCCTTTATCTATTTTAGACAAAACTACTGTGTACTAGCCACAAATAAAAATTAAGATCTATCCACAAACTAGTCTTGGAGCATTTTGTTCTGGCATTTCAAACAAACACAGCACAGACGTAATGTTTGTCTATGTTCTTTGTCAGACTCACTAACTTGTCATTATCTGAATAATGCCCAAATCAGTCAGAAACCTAAATTTGCTATCCCAATTGGATAAGTATTGACAATTGCAATGTGTACCCAGCAATAGGATACAATCCTAAGGGAGAAGATACAGGTGTGTCACAAAAATATAAATAGATACTCAACGAATTTTGGTGGTTAAGGTTTCTGGAAGTGAGAGCGCTCTCTTTGACTCCACTGGTCCCTTCACACTGTCCCTCAGGGAACGCACACTCTTCTGACGATTACGTGCGAAACGAGCCCTCTTGATCTTCCACATTGCTGCATCACTGAGGTTGGCGACATTTGTCCGGACAGCAGTGATAGCTTTGCAAATGCAATTGACCAAGTTAGGATTCATTCCACAGCATGGCAAGGCCCTAATGCTGCCAAGTGCCAAATGCAGCTGGGCCCCAGGTCCCACTCAAGTCAAGAAAGCTTCATATGGGCTCAAGGGGTCCATCTGCAAGGTACTCATTTGCATGCTCTCATTCTGAAATCCATAAACCCCAAATGGCATAACTGTGTTTAAAAAATTATGCTGTTTCTTTAGAGATTGGACAAAAACAGGTTCTTGAAACCAAAACCTGAATTTCAGGCTAAGGGAATATGAGGCGCCCTCTATT